TTTTGCTTCTTTGTTGCTGCTGCAATGGTTTGTCTTCATATTATACTGAGATTTGAGCTGCTGCTGCTGCAGTTGCTTCCGCTGCTGCTTCAGCTTCTGCTGCTGCTTTGGCTTCTGCTGCTGCAGCTGCTTCTGCTGCAGCTGCTTCTGCTGCTGCAGCTGCTTCTGCTGCAGCTCTTGCTTCTGCTGCTGCTCTTGCTTCTGCTGCTGCTCTTGTTCTTGCTGATGATCGCAATGCTCCTGATGCTGCAGCAGTTGCTGCTGCTGCTGCTGCTGCAATGGATTCCGCTGCTGATCTTGCTTCTGCTGCTGCTCTTGCTTCTGCTGCTGCTGCTGCTTCAGCTCTTGCTGCTGCTTGAGCAGCCTTTGCTGCTGCAGCAGCAACTGCTTTTTCTCTCCTTCTTGCTGCAGCTTTTTCTTTATTTTGTCTTTCTTTTCTTTGTTGTCGTGTCTCTCCTTCTTGTCTTTGTCTATTTTCTTCTGCTGTCTCCCGTGTATACTGCGCATATCTTTCTGTGCGTTTTATTTTTCTTTTTCCTTCTCCCCTATCAGAGCGTCTGCTGCTGCTGCTGCTGCTGCTGCCTCTTGAGGAGACAGAAGCAGAAGGAGACAGCTCAGCAGGGAAAGGAGACGATGGAGAATACAGAGAGACAAGAGAAGAACAAGGAGACAGAGGGGCGGGGGGGAGTGTAGAGACACTCGATCCCACTACTGTCTCCTCCAGCTGTCTCCTTCTGGCCCCCTGGCGCCCAGACCCCACAGCTCTCTCTGCTGCTGTTGGCCGTGTTAGTGTATATCTGGGTTTTGCTGCTCTGCGTCTTGGTGCAGGGGGTCTTCTCCTCCTCCTTTCTGCTGCTGCTGCTGCTGCTGCTGCTGCTCTTGCTGCTCTTGCTGCTGCTGCTTTTGCTGCTGCTTCTGCTGCTGCTGCTGCTCTTGCTGCCCTCAATGCTGCTAGCTCTGCTGCCTTCTCTGCAGCATAAGCCTCATCGGGGCCATAAGGTATCACCTCCGTCACTCCGGGCCGTGTCTGTAGAAAAAAAAAAAAACAAAAACAAAAAAAAATTATTTTTTATTTTACATTGAAATATAATATCATAGAAGATATATATAAAAAACAAAAACAAAATAAAATAAAATAAAATAAAATAAAAAGAGAGAAAAGGCTCACCAGGTACCAGCCGGCGTAGACATGTTTTGTATTGGTTGAGGGTAGAGCATCAGTTGTTTGTGTTGTTGTGTTTTCTTTTTCTTTATCTATATCCATAAAAGAACTTTGTTGCTGCTGCTGGCTGCTGGGGAGAGGAGGAATGTATAAAGGCCTCGATACCCCCAGAGCGCGACGCAGCTCTTCTGGTGTATAAAATAAAAATTTATTTCCATAGTCATCGATGGCTGTCTCCGGGGTTATAGGGGCATCAGAGGGGAGAAAAAAAAGAAAAAATATCTCTTCCTCTATTCTCCTTTCTTCTCTTATTGCTTCTCTTTCTTTTTTTTT